ACGGCGGAGAAATCGCTGCTAAGTAACGTGCGGGGGGCCCTCGGGGCCGCCCTTCCCTTGTGCCCTGCCTGGCTCCTCATCGCTGCGTGTGGAGCTGAATGTCCCCCTGTCCTTGGCCCGTGTGGGCTTAGCTCAGGGTGGGATTTGGCTGAAAACCAAGGGTTGCCTGGGATGGAGGAGCAGTTTCCTCAGAAACGAGGCACCCAGCCCTCGTCCAGGGGGAGATCTGAGCTCCCCGGCAGGGTCCTAGCGCCACCTCCTCTTGCCACCCCTGCCTGGCGCATCAGACCGGCTGCTGGGTGGGTGCCAAGGGCACCCTGATTGCCACCAGCCCCAGGGTGGGCGCAGCGTCCCGGCTCGCTGTGAGCGTTGTCACTGCTGGGCTTGCTGGCACCCTGTGGCAGCCCTGGCCTCGGGTCTCCTTGGCAGGTGAGCAGGTGGAAGAGCTCAAGCTGCAGAACGAAGAGCTCCAGGCCAAAATCACATTGTTGAATGAGCAACTGAAAAAGGAAGAGGAGAAGCACGAGGCCATAGTGAAGAGCCTGGAGCAGAAGGCAATGGTGGACAAGGAGAGGTCTGTCTGGGGATGAGAGGCATCCCCAAGCCTTGCTCCTGTTCCTGTCACTTTGCCGTGCCTTGGTTTCCCTGCAGCTGGGATCAGGGCTGGAAGAGGGGTGACACGGAGGTGCTCGGGAAAGTGCTGTGAGGGACGGGGTGGGCCCCATCCTGCAGGGTGGTGGGTACTCGTGGGGATAGCTGCAGCCTTAGCCCTGCAGGGTTTGGCTGCTGCCTTCACCCATGGTTTGGGGGCTGTGTCCCCTTCTCTGTGCAGCCTGATGAAGGAGATGGAGCAGCGAGTGGAAGCTTTGGCAACTGAGACGCACAGGAGGATGTCTGAGACCACCCAACAGGTCATCCAGGAGAACGTGGCCCTCAGGGCGCAGCTGGGCAGGTTGCACAGCTACAACAGGGACCTCCTGAAGGATAACGAACAGCTCCAGGCCACCACACGCGACTTGAAGATCCAAGTGGATCTCCTGGAGGACAGGGAGAAGGAGATGGCCAAGCGCTTGGTCTGCAACCGCAAGGTCCCAGCCCACATCCCAGGCAGGGGTGGCAGGGGAGCGAAAGGGCTGGCATGGCCGGGCACAACCCCCTCCACGGGGAGCCGGTGTAGGGTGCAAGGAGCACCGGGGCAGTTTTGCAGTGCTGAGACAGAGCACGTGGGAGGGGAAGAGACTGTAAGCAAGGGTGGCATGGCACCATGGGGACGTGATGGGACACTGAGGACGTCTCTCCTCTGCCTCTCTGCCTGCCTCCTGGCTGCAGATGATCTCGACGCTCACCACGTTATGCGAGATGCTGCAGGGACTGGGGGACGAGATGGAGTGGAAGAAGGTGCAGAGCCAGCTGGAGCAGCTGAAGGAAGCGGCCGCGCTGCTGCGGTACGGGAGAGCCAGCAAGGCGCTCGCTCCCTTCTCGCCCGCTGGGACGTGGGTGCGAGGCTGCTCGCTCCGTGGGGCTGGCCCCAGCAGATCCCACAGGCTATGCAGCCTGGACAGGAGCTACCAAGAAGGGGCCAGGGCCTTTGGGAAGCAGCCCTGGTGGAGGGGAAAAAAAAAATGTGCCTTGGGCTGTCCAGTCTGGCATGAGACCTACAGCAGGTCTTGCCAGGAGGAGCCAGAATTTCCCCCATTATTGAAAACTCCAGTGTTTTGGAGGGAAGAAAAAAAAAATCCAACTCTAAAACTGTGAGGGCTGCCCTGAAACTTCGCGGCCAACTGCTTCAGCTCTGTGAGAGCAGACCTCATGTGTTGGTGAGGTATAAAATTCCAGGCAGCTCTTGATTTCCACTGTTTTTCCATGAAGCTAAAGTGGTTTTGGAGCCTACAGAAGCCAGAACAGGAAAATCACCATAAGGATGACAAGAGGGACACAGTACTCAAAAGGGACCCCATCCCTCCACATTTTTGCTAAAGCCCTTGAGATCAGCATTTTACTGGGAGAGAAACAGCTCCAAAGAGCTGGAAGGGAGTAAGCAAGGAAGAGGCAGATCTGGGCGTGTGGGGGACACCTCCATGCTACAGCCCACCCTAAAGCTATGTGGGACACGGGATGCTCATGTCTCCCTTGCTCCAGACCATGTGCCTCTCCCTTCTGCTCCTGCAGCTGCGAGGAGGAGGACTCACGAGCAACAGTGAGGAAGATGCCACCTGAACAGCAGCACCAGCCCAGGACGAGCAGGGAGAGTATCCTGAGCAAGGGGAGGATCAGCAGCAGGGACCTCAGGGAGGTGAGAGGCTGGGGGCCAAGATGTGATGTTCCCTCCCCAGCTGCACCTGCCCCGCTGGCAGAGCTGTGTCCAACCTTTCATCTCTTCCTTCTCTATGTCAGTGATCCCGTCTTCCTAAGCACAATCCCACCAGAACAGTGATTTGGCCTTGTACCCTGCTGAGTTGGAGCCCAAGGGTTGTCACAGAAGGCACCCAGCCCATTCCCTCTTGTTGTTGTGCAGAGGCCATTAGAGAAGACGGGGAAATCCCACTGGGCCAAGCTGCGGAGCAGGCTGCTGACGCAGGAGCTGTCAGAGTCCCCAGCTGCAGGGTTGCTGCTGGCTTCGAAGAAGAGCAAGACCCAGGAACTAGGTGCACCCAAAACGAGGTACACTGCACCCCTCTCACGGACACATGCAGCCTCCCTCCTCCGAGCATCTTCGGGGCTGCATTGCCTCCATCTGCTCCCTTTCCTGAGCAGCTCTCCCCTCTGGCCTTGCAGCTCCAGCCAGCTGCATTCAGTCTTGTCCTCAAGAGCCTTCCCTGAGCTTTCTAACAAGGTGCCCGTCAAGATGCAGCTACTTGTGTCCCACCTCCGGCCTACGCTGGGTGGTTCTGGACGTTTCTACAGGCTGCCCCTTCTGGAACCGCCTGTGCCCCTGCTGCAGCCTGGCGGTGAGACACCAGACGGGGCTGGGGGAATTGGAGGGGATGCATTTGGGATGCATCTGTCTGCCACTTCTGAACTGTTCCTACAGCCCATGATGAGACTGCTAGTCCGTGAGACGGAGAGGACATGGCCCAGAGCTGCAGGCAGGAGCAGCAGTCAGGGATAGTTGGAGTTCAGCCTGCAGCGCAGGGCACAGCACAACGGGACCCAACCTCCAGGAGAAGGAGCAGGGCCGAGCTGGGGCTGGGCGTTTATTTCACATCTGTGTAGAACTGTCTTATAAAGCCATGGTAGAGGTTTGTGTGGGAGAGGAGCCACCTGGATCCATTCAGGTAAAGCACAGTCCCTGTCCAGCCCCAGTCTCTAGTGTCCAGCCAGGACACCTGACACCCCCACTCTGCTCAGCACCACGGTCACCCAAGAGAGTCCAGAGTGTCCAGTCCATCAGCCATGCGAGTCCTCAAGGGCTAGTGTCACCCCCTGTCCCCTGGCTCTCCATGGGGTGCTCTCCTCTGCAGGATGTGCTCCAGCAGGCAAGTGGCTGCCTGGGTCAGGACCTGCTGCAGCATCTCCTGCTCCTTGCTGCTGAACGGGCCCAGGACGTAGCAGGTCACTGTTGTTTTGCCCTCTGGACGGCCAATGCCAACCCTGAGCCGCGTCATCTCCTGTTGAGAAAGGAGCAGCTGGAGGAGCTGCTGCTGGCTGGTCTCTACCAGCAGGCACGTGAAGGGTGCAGACAGCACGGGGATGATGAGCCTGGGTGACAGTGAAGGGGCCTCCCCACCTCCCCATGGGCTTTCAGACCAGATTCCAAAAAACAACAGGACTTTGGGAAGAGGCCTTTTGGGGGGCTCTGTTGGGCCCCAGGCTCCTGCCAGGCCAGGCGGATCTGTGGAGCTGATCATTTCCATGTGCTCACCTGGGGCCAAGCCAACACCATTCCCTCCGGGAAGCATGAGCAGAGGGAAGGGGGGATGAGCAAAGGAGTGGAGGGAAGGGGGCTGGGGCTCCTCTAAGGAGCACGGGGCGGGTGGCGAGCCACAAGGCAGCGGCAGGACAGAGCCCCTTCCCCAGGAGCCCACTCACGTCAGACTGCAGAGCGCTGATGCAGGATCGGACCCCGTTGTGTCCCCTGGAGAGAAAGGAAAACACCCAGCGTTAGTCTGGGAGAGATTCCCCCCGGCACGGGATGGTGCTTGGGACTCGGGGACACCGTGTGTCCCAGGCAGGGGATGCTGCTCCCGTCCCCAGCCTCTGCAGCATGTCTGAACGAGCTGGGGCTGAGCGCGGCCGGCCCCGGGGGAGCCGGGTTGGGACAGCACGTCCCGGGCGTCCCGGCTCCTGCTGCGGCTGGTGCGCAGGAGCCCGAGGGCCCTGTCCCAGCACCTTCTAGACCGCAGCTGCTGAATTTGAGCAATCCCACCGCAACCAGGGTGGGAGCAGATTCCAGCACCGCCAGCTCCCCAGCCCACAGCATAAGAGTTCCCAAGTTAAACGTCTCGGGGCTGATTCAGGAGCTGATGCTGAGGTTGGCGGAGCGGAGGCAACGTGCCCTGGGCTGCTATATGAATCTGTGTGGTGCAGCTGGTGGCCTGGATCCAGCCCACAGGCACCTCCAGGAGCCTTCCTGCCTTTTCTCTGCCAGAGCAGGAATTGAGAAGCTGCCCAAACCTCCAGCTGTTACCTCTGTAGCTGGGATCGGGGCCAGGGCTTGGCGCCGAGGCTGCAGGCACTGGTGGTTTGGGGCCAGGAACTGCCTTGGTGCCCACAGCAAGGCCCAAAACAGCTTCACGGACATAACTGGGGTGTCCCACTGCAATGTTGCTACGTCCCTTCCCTCTCCCCCATACCTTGCGCTGCCTCCCAGCTTGATCGCCACCTTCCCCAGGGCCTTGTCCAGGTCGTCATGAACCAGGTAAATGTCCTCCGGGCTCAGGTTGTACAGCTTGGCTTTAGAAACGCAAACACGGCCCAAGAAAGTGAGCGGGGAGACAGGTTCCCTGCGGCCCAAACCCACAGCGTGTGGCTGCAGGGCAGGGGGACGCGGCGGAGCCGCCGCCGCTG